AGAGAGAGAGAGAGAGAGAGAGAAAGAGAAAGAGAGAGAGAGAGAGAGAGAGAGAGAGAGAAAGAAAGAGAGAGAGAGAGAGAGGGCGAAGGAAAGAGACGGATGAATGACAATCAACATGCACCTGTAGAGAAATATTTGTCTGCTTTTAAGCAACCTACAACATATTAGAGTTTAAACGATCAATCGAAATTCTTAAATGTGTGGCCAAAAAATTACATTAGTCATTGTCAGTGAGTTCTCACACGTGCATTTATATATATCTGCAAGAAATGTATAGCAGAACTGTTTATATTTTGCGGTTGTTTCGTGGATAAGCTCTAAAGCATAGAGCGCCCTCTACCGTCACACATCGCAGTCTGTAAAACCTACTGTTATTATTATTATTATTGTTGTTGTTGTTGTTGTTGTTGTTGTTAACGCTGTTCGTCTCTGTTTCAGGTATGACGAATTTAATTCCATTTCAGGTTGCGCGCGTGCGCACGCATACGTGTGAATACACTCGCGAAATCACGCACACGTACACACACTCACACTCACTCGTACACATCTCGGTGGCAGTCTATTAACGGGGATTCTCTTTCTGCTGTCTCTCTCTCTGCAGATATTTTCTCTGCTCTCCTTAATAATAATGATTTCTGCGCCGTATAACCTTCGCGATCGCCGGCCGCCGCCGGAGACGACTAACGCCACCTGGCGGCCGCAGACGTTCGCTTGTTGTTTTTTTGCTTGTCATCGTTGTTTCGTTGTTTCGGCATGAATTGTGTAATTCGCTGTTGTTTATTTCTCCGACGCGCTCTCGCTTCGCTCCCGCTCGTTTTTTCTCTCGTGCGGGGGCGCCGCCGTCGCTGTGATTGTAATGCCGTGCGTTCTGCGTTCGTTCTTTCAGGGACGGCCCGGCCTCGACGGACAGAAAGTGAGTAGATGGCGCCAGCATCGCGCGCGCGGCCCCGCTCCTTCCGCGCGTAATTTCGCGATCTTTACAAGTGGAGTTAATCAATCTACTTAATTAATTGAGTAATTATAGCGACCGCGCATTGTCATCACGTGATAAGTGTATCTGTGCAGCTTCGATTGCACGCGTAGTTGATATTTGGGTCAACAGATGGCGCCACTGTGTACTCCAGGTGCCAAAACTGAGTCCGTCTGCTTTTGCAGGGCGACAAGGGTAATGGCGGTGAGAAGGGACACAGAGGCGAGTCGGGGCTGCCCGTAAGTATATAAAACACACACGGAGGGAAGAATGCTGAAAACGACGCCGCGACAACTAGCAAAGGAAACTGTATCATCCCCTCTCTTCGTTCGTACCGACAATATAGGTTGACGATTTGATAGATGAATTGAAAAATCGCTCGATAGATGGGGCCACGTGTTTACTCGCTGATTTCAGGGCACTGACGGCATTCCTGGCTTGATGGGAGATTCCGGTGCACAGGGCACGGCCGGAGTGAAAGGAGACCGCGGCAGGAGAGGAAAGAAGGGCGTGAAGGGCGACAAAGGAGATCAGGTGGGTGCCGAGGGGGAGGAGCATGTGCGGGAGAGAGGGAGGGAGGGAAGAGGGGAGAGCAGGAATGCGTGCGGGAGAGAGGGAGGGAGGGAAGAAGGGAGAGAGGGAGGGAGGGAAGAAGGGAGAGCAGGAGTGCGTGCGGGAGAGAGGGAGGGAGGACGTAAGTATGCATTTTACTCATTCTCCCTTATTTCCTCCCTTCTTCTCCTTTCTTTCTTTCTTTCTCATTCTTTTCGGTTTTCGTTTCTGTCCCCGGACCCTTCCCCAACCCTTCCTCCTTCTACTCCCTCTCCTCTTGTCGTTCCTCAGCTTTTTTATTCTTGTTTGTTGCTGCTTCCTCTTTTCTCCTCTCACATCATCGCTGTTCTCCTTTTGCACCTCTTCCCGACTGTCCCCCTTCTCCTCATCTTCCCGCTCCTCCCGTTAGGTGGATGAATCGAGCCATACCTCTACCGGAAATCCGGGCCTTCGGTCCGCTCCCCATGCTAATTGGCTTCGATCGGTTGCGCCGACATCATTAGAGTTGTGCTCTGAGCGGAGGCTGCGGATGGAGGATGCGGGTCTTTAATGAAGCCAGTCGGGATTCCTCGTCATTAGCATCCTTATTTTAATTATTGCATCTCTCTTTTTCTCGCCTTTCATGATCATCTTCATCCTCATCCTTATCCTCATCTTCATCCTCATCATTTTTGCATCCTCATCCTCTTCTTCCCCATCCCGCAAGCAGCATACCAGTAGCGACATCTATTGGCTAATCTGTTTTTAATTGGCACCACGCGCTATAACAGTCTCACAACTCTTTCTTCTATATAAGCTTCTGTATAAGCTGTGTAGTAGATCGTACATTTTGCCGTACATTTTGCCGCACTGAGTCCGTGTGCTGTTAATTGTTGCTGCAGGGTCCCATGGGACTGACGGGAGAGCCAGGTCGTCTCGGAATCAACGGCAGCCCAGGCTTAGGGGTAAGAGTGGTGGCGGAGAGGGAGCGAGAGCGGGGGAGAGAGAGAGCGAGAAAGAGGGAGAGAAAGCGAGAAAGAGGGAGAGAGAGAGAGCGAGAGAGACAGAGAGAGGTAGACCTTAGCGGTAAGAGTGCTGGCGGAGAGGGAGCGAGAGAGAAGGGGGGGAGAGAGCGAGAGAGACAGAGAGAGG